CATCCTCCTTGGTACAGTAATGTGGTTTTCAGGATTAGCTCCCATGGTATTTTGTACTGGAAAGTGGCTTTCAGGGTAAGATGCTATTCTTTTTGGAGGGGTGGGGTGGTTTCCAAGATTATTCATAACCCTTTTCGGCGCTGGTGCATGGGCGTTGGGATTAACCACCATCCTTTGTGGTAATCCTGTTTTGTTTTGAGGATTACCCACAATCTTTTGTGATGCATTATGGTGGTTTTCAGGATTAAAAACCACTCTTTGAGGTACCCCTGCATGGTTTTTTGGATCAGCAGTCATTCTATTGAAAGTAGTTTGGTTTCCTTGAGGATTAGCTGCCCTCCTATGTGTAGCTAAAGTGTGGTTTTCAGGGTAAGAAACCATTCTGTTTGAGGCTGTTTGGTTGTCAGGATTAACCATCAAACTGTTTGGTGCAGTTTTGAAGCTTTCCTGATAAACTGCTGTCCTTCTTGGAGTTATATGATGTTGTTCAAGATTCAACAGCATCCTTTTTGATGTGGCTGAGTGATTTTCAGGATTCAATGACATTTTTGTCTTAATCAAAGAGTTTTTTGTTTCAGATTTAATCACAATTTGTTCTGATGCAACTTTTTGATTAACAGAATTAATCCCCATTCTTTCTGGTGCGACTTTTTGGTTTACTGGAATAAATCCCATTCTTTCTGGTGCAACTTTTTGGTTTACTGGAATAATTCCCATTCTTTCTGGTGCAACTTTTTGGTTTACTGGAATAAATCCCATTCTTTCTGGTGCGACTTTTTGGTTTACTGAATTAATCCTCATTCTTTCCTCTGCAGCTTTCTGTTGCACTGGATTGACCATCATTCTTTTAGGCGCCACGTATGAGTTTACTGGATCACTAGACATTCTTTTTGGCGCAGCTCTGGGGAATCCTGGATCAACTGCTTCTCTTTCGAAGCCACTCTGGCTATCTCCGGCATGCTTTTTCAAATGAAGCACCAACGCCCCAATGTTAAATGTAAAGTACCCACACGTGCAGCAGGTGTAACGTCTCTTACTTTTATGCATCCAGTAGTGGGTGGCCAGATCATGGCCTTCAATGATTTTACAAACACAGAGCTTACAGCTGTATGAGTCTCTGCTTCTAGAACCTTTGCTGAAGGAGACAGGTGTGAACATTCCACTCAAGGCCTCAGGTAAATGTGTGCCTCTAGCTGCAGTGCTCATCTTCAAGATTTTTTATTGCCAGAATCTGATTGAACAAAAATACAATAGTCCAATAGTAAATCTGCTTAGAGAAATATTTCTAAACCAATTAATGATAGCTGCTGTAAGATATGTGTCAGTGTATGTTAATATAATGTTATTAGGCTTATTCTATAGTTATAGTCATCTATTAATTAAATTCTAATATTTGTACAAGAGTGTTAAATATATTACTATCAGCACTGATTGTATATTTTTAAAAATTATGCAAGCTTTTTATTAAAATAGACCTGAAAATTTCTTTAAATCTAAGATTTTAAAATGTAATAAGATGAAAGTGAAAGCACAGCTAATCTTATTACAGGCATGATGATTCATAATCTTATATTTGTAGATCTCTATTTTAATGTAACATAACCAGAGTTTCTTCCAGTCATCTCTTTGGGGGGCAAAGCCCCCCCGTAATTTTTTTACCGCCCCCCCCCCCCCCCCCCCCGAACGAAATGAAATTTATATAATTTATATAGAAAATATATACTTTTAACAGTGTCCCCCCCCCCCGAAGAAAGTTTACCGCCCCCCAAAAATTTCAAGTGCCGTGCCCCCCCCCGGAGAAAAAAGTTTGGAAGAAACACTGAACATAACGTGACTGGTGTTGTATTAAATAAAAATAATTAATTCTTTTCTACCTAGATCTAGAATATAGCTAGATAAATTATTACTCCCTGCCGTTCAGTAGTGAATCAGCAGTATGTTAGCTTAGTATTACGCAGAATGGCTGAGTAGGGTAGGCATGTTGGATCTGGTGCACTTTGACAATCCTATCTATAGTTTTTTTAAGTATAACTTATAGATTAATAAAGATATATATTATAAATATATATAGACTAGATCTAGATTCTAGAATCTAATCTCGATTCTAGTATCGTAAACACTTCCACTTTGACTTATCGTGACTTATGACTTATCACCATGTGGCTTATGCTTGGTGAAGTTATTTGTAACTTGTATCTGTGTGTGAGTGTTAGTACTTACGTAGTACAATGTAGTTGACTACTACTACTAGACTACTGTAGACTGTGTAACTGTGTAGACTGTGACAGACTGTGGGTGTGTGCTGTGTAGTCAGTAGTTAGTGTCATAGATTGTCATAGATAGTCAAAGTGTACTGTCACTCCTGATCTCAGTTAAGACAAGTTTGAAGTTAATACTTTTTTTTTACTGTGTTCCGTGTTAGTTAGGCCTAGTGTTACTGTTAGTAGTGTTAGTAGTACTGTTGTACCTGTGACTGTACTGTAGTGAAGTGTTAACGAACAGTGTTAGACGTTAGTGTTAGTGTTTAGTTTAGTGTTTGTTTAGTAAATTAGTAATGTTTAGGTTTAGAAAATAATTTAGATTTCTACACTCTAGACTAGAGTCAACTACTAAAACTACTTACATCAAAAAGTAAGCTAGATCTAGATCTAGATCTAAAATCTAGATAGACTAGATCTATATCTTGATCTAGACTTATAAAATATAGAAATATCTATTATAGATTATAGAAAGATCTAATCTATATCTATATAGATCTAGACTCTATAGATCTAATATAATTTTATAAAAGTTTGGATCAATCTTGCAAAATGAGTGAGAAACTTGTCAAACTTCAAGCGGAAATCGTGAAGCAGTTGTACTACAGGTTTAGCAGTTTGAATCTAGAACTAGATGTAGTAGATCAAGTTTCTATGTACTAGATCTAGATTCTAGATCTAGATTTATGTAGATCTATGGCCTATTTTTTTGAAACGCTAAAATCTAGTATTTTTCTGCACAACTGTTGCTAGATTCTAGATCTTAATGTATCTGTGTGGTCTCTACGGAGGCGGCGTAGAATGTAGGCTTACATATTAACACTCCCCAATCCCTATGGGGTCGTCCATAAATGACGTCACACTCGTAGGAGGAGGGGGTTCCGTAATTTTGTGACTGAGTGTGATGAGGCGGGGGGTGGGGGGGGGGGGGTTAAAAATAAAATGGTACGACGTCACGCTTTTGCATTATAAAAAATCAATGTAAGAAAAAGAATTTTAGACGTTATTTCGCGTTTTAGAAAACTGTTTTAATAAATTGTAATAGGAATTGATAAAACAAGTAATTAAAAAAAGTCTAGTGACAATTTTAGCGCAATTTCCTTGTTATCTAAAAATAGCTCTGTCGTAGCGTAAATCAAGAGCAGGGTTAGTAAAACCATTGGTTAGTTATTAAAACGTTTTTTATTAATTCTTTTTCAGTATTTTACATGTTTTATTTACAATAGAGTAACATGACTAAAAACCATTGCGCGCCTAGCTACCGAACGTGATGTCATAGCCATTGAACGTGATGGCGCAGCTATTGAACGTGATGACGCGTGTGGTGTGGTTGCATAAAATGCCTACTAATTCGGTCCAAATTTTAATTAATTCAAAAAAATTTTTGTGACCAAACGAAAGGATATTTTTGAAAACTTTCTTCGGCAATATTGTTCTAAATTATGGCAGGAATCGATTGGTACATGTTTCAAGTCGCTAAGTGGTCTGGTTGCCGAGATATGGCCATGGGCCAAAAACTGAATTTTTTCGAGGTTTTTTGGCTTTTCCGGGAAATCCATGAAAGAAACCCGGAATTTTTATGGCCTATGTTCATCCTCGTAACTTGCTTAACATAATTGTTTTTGTAACTAGTCATCGATATTGCTTCGTTGAGGAGGAGATACGACTTAAAGCTGCGGACACACATCCATACATTCATCCATCCATCCATCCAGAAATGACGGGTTAATAAACGCAATTCTCCAGAATGGAAATTGCGCTAAAAATACTCTATTTTGACAGAGTTCAGACAAAATTTTGGAAAAGTATCGATGTTTTAAGAAAAATTCAACTGCAATTTTGATGGGGGGGGGGGGGGGGGGGGTTGTAGGCTGAAGTCTGACGTCATTTTAGGGGGGGGGGGGGTCTGGCTTTTTGTGACGATGTGTGACGGAGGGGAGGGGGGAGGTATGGATGACCCCTATATCAAAATTTGGCCGTCGTCGCTGTCTTCCTAAAATTTAATGTGCAAAAAGAATTTGCATCTTCTACTAGAAGTTCTAGACATACTTTTTTTTTTATTTTGGCATTCACATTGTTGTAATCTTTGCATCATAAAAGCAATAACCGTTACAATAAAAAAAATTGAGCACCTTGGTTTTATTGGGACAGTAGAGCGCTAGACTGCTAACCTGAAAGTCTTGAGTTCGAATCCAGATCACGTCAAGAGAATATCATTGAGTTCACCCAGCTCCTACATATACCCAGGTCAAGAAACATATGAACTCTACTTCAGCTACCAATGGTTCACTAAAGATTCTAAAAAGGAATCTTTATCTTCACTTGGGTTTTAAAGGTCGTTGACGAATGTCCATTGATTCTGAAAGTGTGTCATAACATATAAAAAAAATGTAGCAGTTACTTTGCAAATGCTTTTGTTTTATGAACTGAAAGCCCCTCTAAACCAACAATTGAATTTGTTTATAACTTGGACAAATAGTAATTGAGTATTTATTTATTCCTTTGGTATCTGTAAAATATTTGTATCCAGGCAAATGATATTCACGCACTCTTATCTTTGATGAAATGTAGAACAAATGTTTATGCATGTGAAAGGCTTGTGGTCAACACCATGCTAAAACACTTATAGGAGCCATCGGCTAATCAAATTGGAAATTCCCCTTAAGTTGAACACAAGCAGTGAACTACAACAACTATAAAGAAAAACTTCAGAAACATCAGAGAAGAAAAAATGTTTGACTAATTATATCATTTATTATCATAATCATAAGGCAGAAGATAAGATGATGGGTGACATACATTCATCTACTTATTGTATATACAAGTCAGTTATGACAATGGACAAAATGAAAAGAAAGAAACAGGCCTATTTTGGGAACTTCAAATTAATTTTTTAAAATTTCTGCCTATTACATTTGTTTACAAATTACAATAATTTTGATTTAAAAAATGTGTATAGGCTTACAGGCTAAATGAAAAAAAAATTTTAAAAATTCTGTTCCTAAAACACAAATTTTAAACAAATTAAACTTGATTCCAACACTATCTTTTGCTTGATTTAGGCACCTTTTGAACTTTTTTAGAGGCATTTATTTTTTTCCTAGCAGGCTTAGTATGAACAAACATATCATCACTAACTCCAAATTCTTCTTGTAAAGCTCTTTTGTAATAACGAATACTTTTGAATATCTGACCCTTGTCAGTTGCAAGATCAAGCAATAATTTCTTATTAGATTTACAGGTTTTTCTTAGACTAGTGATTTGCGCATTTTTCTTATACAATCTATCTTTCATGCTTTTTACTTTCTTTTTAACTTGAGAGTATTTGTGCTTGATCCTTGTGTGGAAACATTCTCTTTTCGCTTCTATCAAAGCTTTCTGCCTGGTTTGGTAAGTTTGCATGAGACTTTCATAGGTTCTTTTGGCTGACAAACATTTCTGGCATTCAGCGGGGATTGAACTGTTTTCATTCCCGGCTGATGTTGAGGAGTTCTCAACAGGGTTGGCTAATGTGCCCTTATCAGCAGCTTGTGGTAAGGGGGCATCACTTATTGCTGACAAAGAAACATTGTCTGAAGGATTGTCTGCGGGTTTTTTTTCACTCTTTTGCGGTAAAACAAATGTCTGTTCTAAAAAAAGTAGAAGCTCCAATTTATATTTTGTAAGATTCTTTTTTAAATAATTAAACTTGTCTTTAATCTTCAATATCTTACAGGGCAATATGTCTCTGAAGAATTTAACATTGCCTCCACACTTCTGGAGTTCAGCACATAAAACTCTTGATACTGCGGCCGGTTTGTTTTGGTTTGAAATCAGTAACCAGGCTATATGGCCGTATTTAATATCGGGGCCATGAATTTCTTTGTACTTCTCTAAGTAAGCTACAAGGTCCTTGGGTGTTAATAAAATGCTGAAAAATATAGAACAATTTTTTAATTACCTATATTTGCATAAAAGTTATATGTATATACAGGTAATTTTAAAGGTAAACATGAATGGGTATATATATCAGCTGTCCTGGACTGACATAAATTTCACTAAATAAATATATATTATATTCACAAAAAATCACAAATGAAAAAGTGCTTAAGGAAAATATATTACCTCCCGTAGGGAATTCATTGATAGGTGTACATTCTAAAACAAAAGACCTGTCTTGAATTTTCATGATTGAACGCCCAGGCTTTTTTTTTTAATCATACCAGCATATTGCTTTAGTAAAGTTACACCAAACCAATTTTTTTAGTGCATTTTTTAGATTATGATTTTTTATTTTTTTTTTGTGATTTTTGAATATAATAAAAGCCTTTTTCCCAAAAAAAAACCACCTTTTAAGTGACATTTATTTTTAATTTGCTCTAGAGGACACTAAATTTAATGAAGAATATAATTACTATAATTTTAAAAAAAACTGGAATTCATTTTTTAAAATTTGTTCTAGAGGTACTACTACTAAACTTATACCTAGCTTCATTTAAACTTGGCTCCTGGCTCACATTTTTTTCAACTGGTTCATTATCATGGACCTCAGTTTTAATCCTGAAGAAGGAATTGCCAAGGACTTAAACAAATATATTTTGCATTTGGTGTAGGATTTTAAAGTAGTATAATATAACAATTTTTTAACATTTATTTTATAAAAGGAGCAATAACTGAAATAACATTCCACAAATTTATTAAAGAAAATCACATCACATAAGGTTGATGTGGTCAGATGGTAGAGATTTCCACTGTTAAGTTAACCCTAAAGTCTTGGGTTTGGATCCTGAGCTAGAGTTTGTATGACATTCCAGAATCCACTAAGCTCTGATGGTTAACTGACTCAAGTTAGTTAAAGTAAAGGCGGCTAGGCATAGTGCTGTTTACACTATCTCTTCATATGCTTAGGTCACTGAAACAGGTGAAATCTACTTCACATGCGCCATAGACAGTAGACTTTCAATGGATACTTTTATCTTAAAATTACACTTATTACCAATTTATTTTTTGAATTAGTTCTAGAAGACTACTAAAGTTATACCTAGCTTCATCAAAACTTGGCTCCTGGCTCTCACTTTCTCTAACTGGATCATCATCATCAACTTCAATTTTAATCCTAAAGAAAAAATAGACAGGGAAACCAAGAGATATTTTTTGAACACTATGGAGGGTCAAACAAATTTTGAAATTGATTTATAAACTGTCATTTTAACAAGTTTAAACCTTTACTTTATAAATGCAGCAATGATGTAATAACATCTCACATTATTTCACATTACAATCTGTTGAAAATTAAGGAAAAATCAGAATGATAAGTGAATGCTGTTGTTAGTAGGTGTGGTGGTCTATTATGCGCCAGACTTTATGTTCTATTAAGTAGCATCAGCACCAACTACAAAGATACCCATTTGGAACTTATGGGGCAATAGTGCAGATGAAGTAGAGATGATCTGTTTCTGTAACCAAAGCATTTGATAAATAAATTATCTAGGTCAGGTTTTATGCCCAGCGACACTTAGTTTCAAAAACATTTGTCCTATGTTGACAGTAGTCCTCTCTAGCATCACTCCACGCAGTTCAATGTTTGTTCCATACACTTGAATAAGATCAAGTGCTTGCATGTAAGTTGCAGGGAAATTGTTCTCGACAAAGCGGGCTATTAAAAATTAATCTAAAAAAATTAGAGCTATCTCAATAACTGTGTTAAATCTCATCATGTGAACGGCTAATGGTCAGCACCATGCCAAACCAGCTAACCCAGCCTTTAGCTAATCAAACCGTGAACTCTACAGCTATAAAGAAAAATTTAAGAAACATCAGAGAAGGAAAAATGTTGAACTACTTTTTTTATTTATTATAATAATCATAAGGCAGAATCGTCAAGATGAATAACAATAACATACATTTATCTACTTATTGTATACACAAGTCAGTGATGATAATGAACAAAATGGATGGAAAGAAACAGGCCTGTTTTATTTTGTGTACGTAAATTAAATTTAAAAAAATTTCTGCCTATTAGCGTAATCTTTTATTTTCACCTATTACAAATATTTAAATTCAAAATTTGTATACAGAATAAATAAAAAAAATTTTTTTTTTTAAAGTTCAATTATATTCTGATCTTGAAAATTCTGTGCCTAAAAAACAAATTTTAAACAATTTTAACTATTCCAATACTATCTTTTGCTTGATTTAGGCAGCTTTTGAACTTTTTCAGAAGCATTTATTTTTTTCCTAGCAGGCTTAGTATGAACAAACATATCATCACTAATTCCAAATTCTTCTTGTAAAGCTCGTTTGTAATAACGAATGCTTTTGAATGTCTGACCCTTGTCAGTTGCAAGATCAAGCAATAATTTCTTATTAGATTTACACGTTTTTCTTAGACTGGTGATTTGCTTATTTTTCTTATACAATCTATCTTTCATGCTGTTTACTTTCTTTTTAACTTGAGAGTATTTGTACTTGATCCTAGTGTGGAAACATTCTCTTTTCGCTTCTATCAAAGCTTTCTGCCTGTTTTGGTAAGTTTGCATGAGACTTTCATAGGTTCTTTTAGCTGACAAACACTTCTGGCATTCAGCGGGGATTGAATTGTTTTCATTCCCGGCTGATGTTGAGGAGTCCTCAACAGAGTTGGGCAATGTTTCCTCATCAGCAAATTGTTGTAAGGGTGCATCATTTATCATTGATGAAGACGCATTGTCTGAGAGATTTTCTCTGGTTTTTTCTTCAAGGGGTGGCGGTAAATCGAACGTCTCTTCTAAAAAATTAAAAATCTGCCTATTATATCTTGCAATATGCTTTTTAAAACTATCAAACTGTATTTTAGTCCTCCTTATTTTAACGTTAAATCTCTTTTTACAGAATTTGATATCGACTCCACACTCTTGTAGTTCAGCATATATAACATTAGCTACTACAGCATATTTGTTTCTATTTGATTGCAGTAACCAGACTATATGGCCGTTTTTAATATCGGGGCCTTGCCTTTCTTTGTACTTCTCTAAGTAAGCTGCAAGGTCCTTGCTAGTTAATAAAATGCTGAAAATGCAGAAAAAGTTATATATATATATATAATATATAAGTTATATATATATATCTATATATATAGATAGATAGATAGATAGATAGATAGATAGATAGATAGATAGATAGATAGATAGATAGATAGATAGATAGATAGATAGATAGATAGATAGATAGATAGATAGATAGATAGATAGATAGATAGATAGATAGATAGATAGATAGATAGATAGATAGATAGATAGATAGATTTATATATATATTAACTTATATGAATATATAGATAATTGGTTAACTTATAAACGGGCGAATATATCAGATTTCCCGCTGTTAAATAGTGTTTTGACAGGGGAGTAAAAATTTCAGTGCTAAGTAAACATACAATGATTTAGTGTACAGATATTACAGCCTTGTAATAATTTGCCACTCTAGGTCACACATAGTGGAACAAGGCTAGCTTTAGAAACCAAACAAAGGCTCATTTCATTTTATTACTAACAAAGTATGGACAAAAAAGCTGTAAAAGTTACAATCCTAACAATCAGTAGGCAGATCATGTAGAGTTTGTGTTTCTTAAACCACGGTCTATAAAGGATGGTGTGGTCAGCACGATAATCTGAGTACATTTTAAGTTAGGTGAACAAAATTTCAAATGTACAAGTATTAGTTTGTATGTGAAAATTTATGTTGATTTTTTAATTGATTTTGGATAATCGGAAGTGGCAATTTACTATATTTCTGTGGGAACAAAATAACTTAAGTACAGTTCCAGTTAAGTAGACGAAATTTCATATTGTATAAAACCTAATACTTGGATTTGTCTCAAACTTTAAATGACCTCTCATATTCGGAAGTGGTACTTTATTTCTGCTTTCTTAAATACATACAGCATAATTACCATTTCAGTTAGGTAAGAGAAATTTTATATGATCTTAGTCTCTTGATTCTGTCAAATTTTGAGCAATTTATGTTAACAAAAGGATGTACTTTACTGTATTTCCAATTTCTAAAAACAAAATTACTTTAACAAGACAATTTGTTTAAAATTGTTCACGTAGGCCAACACTCTATCTCTATGCACTGTGACATAAAAATGGGACTCGATTAGATTTTTAATTAACGTTTTAAAAAGTAATCATCTTCCTTCATAGAGTACTTATTTTCCACGCAATTATGCACAAATTTTAATTGTTCATTTTGTGCACAATTTTTTTTCCAATTCAAATGTATTCTAAAATTCTATTTAAAAAAAAAATGTAAGTTTAAAAAAAAATTAATACAAAATATTTCTTTAGCCTGATTGCATTGAAAGTACCCTCCCTCTTACTGTTCTATGAATATATAATAAGAAAAAGCTAAGGGGAGCTCACTTCTGCTTTATTTTTAACTTGCTCTAGAAGAGTACTAAACATAAATGAAGATAATGATTACCATAACTCTTTAATTTACAAAAATGTTGGAATTGGTTTTTTTAAATTTGTTCTAGGAGATAACTAAACTAATACCTAGCATCATTTAAACTTGGCTCCTGGCTCACACTTTTTTCAACTGGTTCATCATCATCAACTTCAATTTTAATTCTGAGGAAGGCATGGACAAGGATATTAGGAAATATTTTTACAACATTTGGTGAAGGATTAAAAAAATGTATAATGTAACTTCTTTTTAACATTTATTTTGTAAAAGGAATAATGATTGAAAAAACATTCCACAAATTTATTTAAGGAAATTATTTTATACAGAGACTGTGTGGTCAGATGGTAGAGCTTTCAACTGAGTCCGCTAAGCTCTGATGGTTACATGACTCAAAGTTAGTTCAAGTAAAGGCAGCTAGGCATAGAGCTGATTACACTATCTCTTCATATGCCTAGGTCACTGAAACAGGTAAAATCTACTACACATGCCTCATAGACAGTAGGGTTTCAAGAGATACTTTGCTCAATTTATATCTAAAAATAACATTTATTACAAATTTATTTTTTGAATTAGTTCTAGAAGACTACTAAAGTTATACCTAGCTTCATCAAAACTTGGCTCCTGGCTCTCACTTTCTCTAACTGGTTCATCATCATCAACTTCAATTTTAATCCTAAAGAAAAAATAGATAGGGAAACCAAGAGATATTTTTTGAACACTATGGTGGCGGTAAAAAATGTTTTATAACGTTTACAACTTTTTAACCTCTATTTTTATAAAAGCAGCTATTATGTGATAACATTTCACAAACTTGATTTAAAAGAAAATTATTTCATACGAGAAAAATGGCCCGTTGAGGAAGGATACAACGGGCGCTAGGCTGATGGTGCTGTCTCTTTTCTCTAAACTAAACCCCCCCACCCCCCCCCCCACACACACACACCACCCCCCCCACCCACCCCCCACCCCCAACCCTCCCCCCCACCCCCCCACCCCCCAAAAAAAACATGTCTACCGTCCCATTCAACGAAATATAATTATATACTTTTTCCAGTGTCCGCCCCCTCCCAGAAAATTCTACCCCCGCCCCCGAAAATTTCAAGTACCCCCACCCCTCTCCGGGGAGGAAAAAGTCTGAAAGAAACACTGAAACCAACCCACCCCCCCCCCACACACCACCCCCCCCACACACACCCCCCCCCCCTCCACCCCCCCCCCCCAAAAAAAAACATGTCTACCGTCCCATTGCAAGAAAACCACTTTTTAGATTAGACACATTAATTAGGCGGTAATTTTATTATAGAGTATCGATGAGGAAATTTCTTTTGAGTTGGGGAGGGGGGGGGGCTCAGACGTTCTTACGCGGGGGGTGGGGCTTCGCCCCTACCCGAAGAATTGTATGCAAGAAACTCTTCACGCAAACCATTTAGATTAGACAACATTTCCTTTTTTTCAATGTTTACGCGATAATCAATGACGTCATTACATTACTGTGTGCACTCTCTGGTTTGAGATTATGTTCTACTCTACGCTAAATGTGTCGACGTCATATTTCGTTTTTCGAATTACTGTGCATGTTTTTATTTTGCTTGTGTTTTCTCTAGAGCGTTCTTGTCAGACAGAGCGTTCTTGTCAGACAGAGCGTTCTTGTCAGATAGACAGACAGCGAAACTATTAGTATAGATTACAATCTGGTGAAAATTTAGGAAAAGTCAGAACAAAAAAGTTAAGAACTGTTGTTAGTAGCTTTCGTGCATTTGTTTCATTTGGGCATTTTTCGCATTCGGGCAAGTCTCCATTCTGGAAAGTGTCCATTCGAGCATTTGATGCATTAAGGCAAGTGTCTATTTGGGGGAAAATGGCCTACAGGCAAGTGTTTTTTGGGAATTTGTTGTAGACCAATATATATATATATATATATATATATATATATATATATATATATATATATATATATATATATATATATATATATATATATATATATATATATATATATATATGTACATGTATATATGTGGTATATTATAAAAAATTATAATTAAAAATATCTCACAACTTCAGTCTTTGAGAATTGTTATGGAGGATTTCTAAACTTAATACCTAGTTTCACTTAAACTTGGCTGTTGCTTAATATTCTCTTTATCTGGTCCAACATCATCAACTTCAGTTTTAATTCTAAGGAAGAAATATGTAGGAAAATATGAAATAGAAAAGAGAAAATTCTTTCTAATTTCAAAACTGTATAGATCTACCTTGAAATTGTAAATTACACAAATGGTTTCCTCTTTTACTTTATAAACATAATTTAATATTTTATATTTCACACTTATAATCAATGAAAAAAAAGAAAAATAGTAATATTAAGATATTAAGACTAAATCTAAATATTATTTTATAATATTGGTGTATGAACTTTTTTTATGTTTTATCAAGTTCAAAATTGCCATAATAAACTTACTCCATGTTATCATCAGGCTCCTCCTTTATATTCATATCAAGGCTGCTAGTAAATGCAAAAAAGTACAGTTGATGATAGCAAAAATCGTTTTTTAATACTTTCTGAATTCTTAGATAATCACAAAGAATCATCAATTTTTCTTTTTAGTTCCCAAGACACATGGTGCAGTTGAAGTAGAGCTCATCTGTTTCAATGCAGTGGGTTAGTGTGATTAGCACTATGCCCATTCCCTTAGTTTACCTAATGTGTGTTAGGTACCCATTAGAGCTGAGTGGACTCAGAGACATTAAAAACTACTGAGCTGGGTATCTGAGCTCAGGACTTTCGTGTTAGCAGTCATAATCTCTAACATGCTACCATTCCGTTCCCATAATCATGAAGAATAATTAATTATTAAAATATTAAAAATTCTAATATGTGATAATTAAAATAAATGAATTAAAATTACTTTAGTGAATCTGTTTCTTCAGTAGTGTCTTGATCATCTTCCATCAGAGATGGGGGCCTTGTAACATAGTTGTGGTCCAAACTAGATTAAATTTTAAAATTTTCACCTTTATGTAACTTATTATTAAAATATAAGTTAGTTAAGTAAATATATTTTTATTCTTAATTTTTAGATGTTTTTTCATAAGTTGTAGCATTAAAAAAAACTTTTTGTTTACTACTGAAAGTAAAATGAAATTTACTTCATTCACACTTTTTTGGTGTATAAATTGAGTCTTAAACAATAATTTATCAACAAGATTAGCCTTTCATGCAATAGGGCAGAAAAATAAATTTGATGAAAAATTAGTATACTGATTAAAATATTATTATTCACCGGTCTTATAAAAATGGTTCTTTTTTTTTCTAAAATAACATGGGCTTACTTAATCAATTTTTCTTTAGCCAAATTACAGCCAACCAATTCAATACTGATGCCTTGTGGGCCACTTAATTCTTGAGGCTTTACCTTAAAGAGGCTGCAAAACAAATGAATGGTGTGTACACTACATATGGCTAATTTCTAAATAAGGTGACAAAATATCTACCCAGAGAAGTAAAATGCTCAGGGCACTTACTAGGGCATTAGGTGAAGAGATCCCGGTATAGTCCAAAGGAATGTTTAGCATTACATTTGTATTATACTTGCATAAAATATAAAAACATGAAATAATGCTTTTGTATTGTAATGCTTTAAGAATAAATTAAATTAAGACTAAAATGTTGTGATAGTACCTGACAGGGTATAGATGTTCTGATAGAGCAATACTGTTTGTGCACTCATTATCATCATGACTGAAAAGAAAAGATTAACAACATTACTACCATATTAAGTTCTTGTTTTTTTTTTAGGAATTCACTGTAAGGTATACACAATGCACATTTATTTTTTAGTAACTGTACACAGTGTAATATTGTATAACATTTATAAAATGCGACACAGCGTATAACTAATAAAACTTGATCAATATTTTGTGGCCATGACTAATGTATTGCATACAAACATTACAAAATCAAACCAAAAGTAGCCACATTTATTTTTAAATATATTATTTTTTGATAAAGTAGATAAAAAAAACATTGAAAGAATTAGATGGGATACTGATTAAGATGAAGACAGATCTATAACCTGTTGTAGCAGTTTCTATCATAAATTGGAGATCTTGTATTCTCATCATCATCATCATCAAAGTATTCTTGCTTTATCCTGTTAAAAATTTAAAAAAAAACATTTAAAATATGGCCTACATATGAAAAGAAGTATTTATATTATTACATAATAATTCAGGATAGTTTGAATTTTACTTCATATTCCCCATGTTAGAAAATTACTGCTAAGTTAGTTAATGCTGTTAAATAATGTAAATCACACTTTAAATTTGTATTAACAATAACATTACCAATACTCATTCACACAAATCAGAAATTATTGAGAACATAAATATTAATATAGTCCTTGATTTGAGTCTGTAAGACAACAGAGAACCAGCATCTGACACACTCATTTTTTTCATTCTCCATACAGACACAGATAAACTCTACTTCTTGTAACCAGCCAACTAATGACAAAGACACTTGATGACAAACTATATTAATAATAGATTGTTATTATAGTGAGAGTAAAATAAAAAGAAATAAGGTAACACTGAAAACCTACGATAATGGACGCTCATCATTCGTAGATGGTTTTTTCTTACAGTGTGATTTCTTATTCATTCTAATAGAAAGATAAAACAGTAATAAATATACTTGCAAGATTAAAATTATGAAGCATAATTGATATCGAAATACAGAAGGATAAAACAATAATAAATAATATATATGCAAGATTAAAACTATGGAACAAAATTATTATCACCATATCCATAATTAAATTTTTTTAGTAGATCCACTACGTATTTATCCTAAAAAATCAAACAGAAACTGGATTAGCTTACTCAATATCAGTATCAGAAACTTTTTTTGTTCCTTTTGTTGTGCCACTAAAATCAAAACGTGTTGGTATAGCTGTTTTCTTAAGCTGACGTCTGTCTGTAAAGTAGTGAACCAAAGTATATCTTTGAGTCAGACCACAAGTGTACTAGTGAACACAGACCACAAGTGTACTAGTGAACAGACCACAAGTGTACTAGTGAACACAGACCACAAGTATAGTTGAACACAGACCACAAGTGTACTAGTGAACAGACCACAATTGTACTAGTGAACACAGACCACAAATGTACTAATGAACACAGACCACAAGTATACTTGAACACAGACCACAAGTGTATAGTGAACACAGACCACAAGTATAGTTGAACACAGACCACAAATGTACTAGTGAACAGACCACAAGTGTACTAGTGAACACAGACCACAAATGTACTAATGAACACAGACCACAAGTATACTTGAACACAGACCACAAGTAAAGTTGAACACAGACGACAAGTATAGTTGAACACAGACCACAAATGTACTAGTGAACAGACCACAAGTGTACTAGTGAACAGACCAAAAGTGTACTAGTGAACACAGACCACAAGTGTACTAGTGAACACAGACCACAAGTACACTAGAGAACACAGACCACAAGTGTACTAGTGAACACAGACCACAAATGTACTAGTGAACAGACCACAAGTGTACTAGTGAACAGACCAAAAGTGTACTAGTGAACACAGACCACAAGTTTACTAGTGAACACAGACCACAAGTGTACTAGTGAACACAGACCACAAGTATAGTTGAACACAGACCACAAGTATAGTTGAACACAGACCACAAGTGTACTAGTGAACACAGACCACAAGCGTACTAGTGAACAGACCACAAATGTACTAGTGAACAGACCACAAGTATACTAGTGAACAGACCAAAAGTCTACTAGTGAACACAGACCACAAGTGTACTAGTGAACACAGACCACAAGTGCACTAGTGAACACAGACCACAAGTGTACTAGTGAACACAGACCACAAGTGTAGTTGAACACAGACCACAAGTGTACTAGTAAACACAGACCACAAGTGCACTAGTGAACACAGACCACAAATGTACTAGTGAACACAGACCACAAGTGTACTAATAAAAACAGACCACAAGTGTACTAGTGAACACAGACCACAAGTGTACTAATGAACAGACCACAAATGTACTAGTGAACAGACCATAAGTGTACTAGTGAACAGACCACAAATGTACTAGTGAACACAGACCACAAGTGTACTAGAGAACACAGACCACAAGTGTACTAGGTAACACAGACCACAACTAAAAGGGTCTAAGAATTAAAATATAATAATCATAACTATAATTATAGTTATGATATATTTATATTTTTATATATATATATATATATATATATATATATATATATATATATATATATATATATATATATATATATATATATATATATATATATATATATATATATATATATATATATATACTTAACTATTATCTAAATTTTAATTAGTAATTAATTAACCTAATAATAGATATATCTGGCTAAATGTTAAAAATTAATAAAAGGACCTTCTAGGATATATTATTATAGTATTTTAATTAATCAGATTAGGACTAGGCCTATATTTAATTGATCATTAATTAGGCTCAACAAAGTGCAGTTTCCATGATCTAGTTTAACCAGCTTCTATATAACCCCAAGCATCCATTCACCCACTTCCCATGGTCGCACTGACTGTGAGATCTGCTATGTAATTACGACAAGTGACCACAGTTATGATATTTACGGAGGCAATTATCATGTGATAGGGGTTATTAAATAATATATAAACAAAATAATAGGACAAGGTCTGCCATAATTTGGTTACCACAATATAAAGTAAAAAAAAGTAAAGATTCCTCTTTACACCTAACGATCCATTGAGCAGATGAAGTGGAGTTCACATGTTTCTTGACCTCTGCATGTAAAGGGATAAATGTGGTCAGCACTATGCCCAGCGCCTTTACATTCCCTAATGTGAGTTAGGTACCCATCAGAGTTGGGTGGACTCAGGGACGTTCCACTAACTTGAACCCGGATTCAAACTCGAAACTATCGGGTAAGCAGTCTAGCGCTCCACTGCTAGGCCATGCCATCCCATTTACCACAATATATCCGGGCAAAATTATCTTCAAACTTACATCTAAAGAATAAAATCTCCTTGAAATAAATTTCACTCCCACTCTCACCTTCTAAAAATATTATATCTGCTATTTTCTGAGGTGGACAGCAAATAATGTTTAATTGCTGGGTTCCATAAGCCAACATTGAATATTTTTTGTGTTATACTGAAACAATTCTGTGAACATCGAACCCATTGGATGCAGGCTAAATGAAAGCTGAATAGACAGTGTGGTACTAGTCAACCCTTATTTTCATCTTAATCAATGGTGACATACACAGTACAGAGGTTACTAGTTTTTGGAAACACAACTGCACCTTTATATTCTTTTGTTCCTGTTCACATTGTCCATTTTGCAAATTGTTTACGGTAATCCAACATTGCTGCATATGGATTTTTAATAGATGCAACTCATTTTAATTTAATTATTATTAGGCATAGGCCTATTGAACTGTTGATAATAATGTTTATGTTAATCATTAATAATCATTGTTTCTAATCACTGGTTAGTAATCATCTTTACTTAAACAACATTCAAAGTAATAAAGCTAGAGACCCATGGTGAAAAGTATTGATCTAAATTTTGAAATCATATTTTTAGAAACAGAGGTTTAGTAGTTAACCCTTGTCATTTTTAAAAATCTCACACATTTTTATCAGGTTCGATTACTGCAATGTTAGTTTTGTTCTAATATGTTTAAGTGTTTATTTTGTTTGTTTTATAATTTTAATCAACTTTATTTCTTGAGAATGACTGATTTTGATGCAGCTTTTTGGAGTTATGATTTCAACAAAACGTTAGATTTTTATTTTAATTCTTACTTGCATGCATTGCAAAGCAAGCCTTGATATAATTTTGTCTGCTTAAAAATGTAAAATATTAAAGAATTACAAGATACTTTTAAGCATCAAAACATGGTAATTCATTTTCCAGCATTGAAGGTAACAAACTTAATCACTGTAAATAATTAACAGAAAAAATTGCATTGTGTTTTTTTTTAGCTTTTAAAATAATAAATTAACATAATAAGAAGTATGTTCAATGATTTGTTTTTGACATTGTTTCAACAAAAACTAATGGATTTACAGAGAAATTAAACAGAAAAGCTTCTAAAGATTTTATAACAATTCTAATACTCTTATAAACAAGATTACCTGTCACGTGTTCTGTGCTCTATTTCTATGCAGAGAGTGACACTACATTTTATAAGTGTTCCATGAATGATGTTTTTTATTTATATTTATTTTCAAAAACTGAGTTATTTTAATGCTATATTTCTTGGATTATAGTTATTGAGGCGCAGGTTTGTCCACACTACCGCCTAGACCCCCAGGCTGTTAGCTGCTGTGTGAATTTAAGGTACCAAATCGCATCCTGCTGGGAAACCACCACTGTGAAATTATATTTAGTTTTCTACAGAAATCTTCCCAGGAGTATTCTCTTCAACTCCCTAAAGTTTCAAGGCGATTGGATAAAAGGTGTAAAATTCATAGAAGATAGACACTTGTACATATTTTTATTTATATATATGAATATATAGGCCTACTATAATATACACCAGGGGTCTCCAAACTACGACCCGCGGGCCGGATGCGGCCCTCGAGGTCCTCTCATCAAGCCCACGAAGGTCTTTGTGTCCACGGAAAAAATGTTTGGCTGAGAAACTTTGCCCAGAAAATTCAAAACACCCTGAAGAAATTTCTTGAAGAAAACTCTGGCTCTGGCCCCCGCACTATAGTTAAAGCGGCCCTCGGGCTAAAAAGTTTGGAGACCCCTGATATACACCATAGATAATACTTAAACTTAATACTACTGATACTAGTAATAAATAGATTATTTAATAGTAGTAATAAATAGGCTCTTGCCTAATAATACTAACTTAGGGCCCATAGTACACCTATTTTAGCAGAAATGAATAATAGTCTACCCGGTAATCTATCAGTTTTAGGTACGTAAAATCGCCCGCTACTAGTAATGTGAAAATCAGGTGACTCCTTAAATTTTAATAATTATTTCACATTTTGAGGAGGATTTATGTTTTGAGAAAATACAAAATGTTTCCTTGTTTCATTTATATACCTGTTTTTAAACAACTGAATTAAAACTTTTCAGTAATAAATTAAGGCTAGCAATGTTTCCAACAGATGCAACCATGCTCATTTACTATCCCCTAGCAGCCATCTTGTTTATTTTTTTTATTGTAAACTTAGAGCGCAAGATTCAGGGGAAGCCACTCTAACTTACAGATGGCCGCTTTTTATATAGCAAATCCTGCTCGCAAACACTGCTGTTTTAAGTTAATTTCTTGCCTATATAATATATTTAACCATTGATTTAGGTTTATTATTTATTTATCTATAATATTTGACACAAATATATCACAATATACTTGACAATGAGGTCACTTTTTCATACATTACTAGCCGCGGGCGATTTTACGTAGCCTACCTAAAACGATATAGATTACCGTCTACCCATATTAAATATTTAGGGTAGGCCTGGCCTAAATTGATAAAGCTTTTTAACTAAAAATTAAAATTAACAATAAGTAACAGTTAGTAACAATAGCAGACTTCATACATGGTAGATCTAGTAGAAGTAGTAGATCTAGATCTAGTTCATACTTGTAAATGGTTGAAAATCAAAATCCTCTTGGCAAAAATGTTCAGAGCAAAGAACACTGTGTACAGTGGCAACAAAATCCTTCCTCTTAAGCTGTAAATACCACTGTTTTAGTACCTCAGGGCGTTTAATTGGGAATGAATGAAACGTTATGTGTTTTACTTTCGGTAATCTATCGTTTTGGGTACGTAAAATCGCCCGCGACTTGTAATGTGAACACCAGGTGACTCCTTAAATTTTAATAATTATTTCACATTTTGAGGAGGATTTATGTTTTTTAAAATACAAAAATGTTTCCTTGTTTCATTTATGTACCTGTTTTTAAACAATTGAATTAAAACTTTTCCGTAATAAATGAAGACTAGCGATGTTTCCAACAGATGCAACCATGCTCATTTACTATAGCAGCCATCTTGTTTAAGTTTTATTTTTATAAGCTTTTAGCGGGAGATTCAGAGGGAAGTCACTCTATTTTACAAATGGCTGCTGTTTATATAGCAAATCTTGCTCTCAGACACTGCTGTTTAAAGTTAATTTCTGGCCTATATCGATATATTTAGCCATTGATTTAGGTTTATTATTCATTTATCTATAATATTTGACACAAACACATGACAATATACTTCTATTAAAGCCTTGACAATGAGGTAACGTTTTCGTACATTAATAGCCGCGGGCGATTTTACGTACCCAAAACGATAGATTACCTTACTTTCTTTGCTTTTGCTGAACTGTTTGTGCATCCAATAGCAGCACAGAACCCACCCATTCTTTACACTACATGATGTTTTAGTATCTCTAGCTAGACGTTTAATTAAATTAATAGGGGATGAATGAAAATAGGCCTATAGTTGTTGTTTTTTTAATATGGTGATATATTTTAGCTGGCTGGATGTTGACATGCGCTGAACAATATCGAGTATCGACCCATTCCACATTGACCGTCAATAATTTGTGTTGTTTTTTTTTTTCATAAAATATTTTAGAGTTATGGCCCCTACATAAAAAAAAATTGTAAATTTCTCTTGACAAAACAATCATTCTCCGCATATCCTAAAATTAAAAAGCTAGGTCAATATAATATTATATCTCATCTAGATCTATTAGGCCTATATAATATTATATATCTAACAGGACCCAGTTTGACAGTAGTTAAACGCACTAGATCTAGATCACGATAGATTTAGATCTAGATCTACCCTTATTTTAAAAATAAACAGCGTTTCTTCCAGACTTTTTTCTCCGGGGGGGGGGGCTCTTGAAATCTTCGGGGGGGCGGTAAACTTTCTTCGGAAGGGCGGACACTGTTAAAAGTATATATTTTCTATATAAATTATATAAATTTCACTTCGTTCGGGGGGGGGGGGCGGTAAAAAAAAATTCGGGCGGGGGGGGGGGGGCTTCGCCCCCCCCCCCCCCCCGAAGAGATGCCTGGAAGAAGCTCTGCTTTGGAAAGCACGTAACAAAAGTCCATTTTTTACCCGTGAATGACCTTACTCATTACTGAATCATTTTAAGATCATTGACAATTTTCCTTAATTAAATCCATTATCAGAAGTATATCTAAAATTTAGGTATTTTTTAAGTACTCATTTTAACAGTTTGATAACTTAGTGAATACAGGAGCTTTTCATATTTCACACCTTGGAGTGGTGGATTGTAAATTGTATTGACACGTGGACACATAGACATCCAAAATCTCGTGTTATCAATATTATCATCAATAGCTTCGAGCTGTATACCCGCGCTTCACTACAGTAACAAAATGGTTTTCTGCCCAGATTTCACCCATCCCCCCCCCCCCCCCCAGAGGCGTAGCGACCCTTCCTGGCGCCCGGGGACAAACTTTCGAATTGCACCCCCCCCCCTCGAACTTTTCATTTGCACCCCCCCCTCAAACTTTCAATTTGGCGCCTCCCCCCCCTAAGGTCGGCGCCCGGAGACATGTCCCCCCCCCGCCCCCCCCCCCGCCCCCCCCCCCTCGCTTCGCCTCTGCCTCCTCCTTCCCCATGGTGTAAAAAAATTTACATTCTTGAATCTGCGCCCCCTACACAACCACTAGTTGGTGCAGCTCTAACCGACAGCAGTAAGGAACCACACCATCAGACGATTATAACCATCCGACGATACCATCAAACGACACCTGCCGACGATACCATTCAACGATGGCCATACAAAATGAGACCCTACCTACATTTATTTGCTTGTTAAAGACTATTTAAAAACTTTTTTTTTAAAGCGTCAATAAATAATAAGAACAGACTATAACCCCACAACGTGCGATTTACAAAAGCCGACAGAAAACAAGACATTAGCTCGTATCGTACTGCCGAAGTCTGACGTATAAAACGTAGATCTATAGATTTCAAATAAAATGCACACACGGAAAATGGCGCAAAGACAAATTTCATTGTATCAAATTTCGAGTAAAAGTTAATTATTTAGCATGTTCATGTGGTCATTCTTTGTTAATGTTTGTATGCTTGATTTAGGAAAAACAAAAAAATGCACATTTTTGTACTCCGTTGCGCAACTTTCGTGTCAAGGGTCATCCGTAAATGACGTCACGCTTTTTTGACGATTTTTACCTCCACCCTCCCCTCCGTCACACGTCGTCACAAAAAACCAGACCCCCCCCCCTAAGATGACGTCACACCTCAACCTACAACCCCCCTCAAAATTGCAGTTGAATTTTTTTAAAACAACGATATTTTTCTAAAATCTTGTCTAAACTATTACAATTTATTAAAACAGTTATCTAAAACGCGAAATAACGTCTAAAATTCGTTTTCTAACATTGTGTGACGTCGCAACATCTAAACCCATCATCACACATCGTCACAAAATTACGGACCCCCCTCCCCTATGAGTGTGACGCCATTT